GTGTGATTCGTCCAAATTGCACTGGCTCTTCCAGTTAAACTCGGAAGGAGGTAGTAGAACTTTAAAGTGCCAACACCGGTTCTCCCGCAGCGCCTCCAGCGGCAATATTGCATTGACAATCGCATAAAGCTGATGAATTCTTACGAGAACTCGTCGCATTGTGCGAGTTCTACTTTGTACTTTAGAAGGAATACCTCGTACAACATGGCTGACGTGGCTCAGCAAAAAGACCGCTAGCTAAATAAACAACACCGCACCCTTGAGGTCAAGGTAGACAGGTCGGAATAATATTTACTGACGACTTGGTTCATTTCATGCGATCTGTACGAGATGAGAGCCACCACCTCATCACGGCCCACATGGTCACGTGGACAAAGACGCACCAACCAACCTGGGTCGACCAGTATTTAGGCGAGAAGGCGTCATCAGCAGGCACTAGCTACGCTGGACCCCTCGGCTTGTGCCAACGCTTTGCTCACCGTCATGGATTTGCTCAGCGAGTTCCTTGCTTCACAAATTAAAGCATATTGAGCTGCTTGCGAAGAAAGAAGTTGTTGCCTCAACATTTTGGTCTAAGCACAGCCACGTCCCATTGCGCGACATCATAATGTCGACGAGACGGCAATACGTACACTACGACATGCCACCACGCTGTATTTGGTGTGAGATTGGCAATGGCGCTAAGAGTGACTCCTATTCTGATCGCATGACGGCGGTATTGGTCGAATGTGCGCTTGTCGGTCCGACGACAGTGCTCGTGGATAACTTGTCAGCCCATGTGTCCGTCCCAGCACGACGGGCCGTGGTGACGAGTTGCACTCGTTTCTGTTGCCCCGGCCAGCAAACACGAAGAGTATTTGTTGACCCCTTGATGTCAGGTTGATGGTCCCTCTGAAGGCAAAGATGCGTGTTCTATGGTTACGTGAAATGCCAGCGATTTCAGCTGCGGAAAAGCGAATGAAACTGATCGAACGTACTATCGCGGCGTGGGAATCGATATGCAAAGAAACGACCAGGAATCGTTCATAAAAGCCTTGCCCACCGTGGCATCCGAATGTAACCAGCAATGAGCTCAGTTGTGTTAAACATAATTCAATTTGATTGCTTGTCTTATTCAATATTGCCATGGCTACCTCTTGCGGCAGTATTTGAACCAGGCGAGTGCTGCCTGCTTGAGGCCGTACAGAGCCTTGACCACCAGCATGACTCAGCTATTCCGTCGACATGGCCAAACTGTTGGTCAACGTACAGCAGTACGCCCTCGTCCATATGGCTTGGACGAACGCTGTGCCGGAATCCGCCTGGACCATGACGTATCCGATTGAGACAACGAAGGCCGCGCATGTTCGAGTTGTCCCCATATTGACTACCGGTGTCACTCGTCCTAACACCAGGAT